AACTAGATTTTAGTGTGTGCTAAGCTCGAGAGAAAAAAAATTAGCTTTAGCACTTTTCGCTTATTTAATTAATTATTTATTTATTTCCGACAGCGTAAAGTTGTTTAGCTCACCGTGCTTCCATCCAGACATGTTCTTTTTTAGCCCCGGTGCCGGAGCGCAACCCCGCAGCAGCCGTCCTCATGACCGACACAAAAACACGGAACAGACAAAGCATCTGCTGAGGCGTGAGGTCGCCGCCATGTTTGCTGTGTGATCCGAAACAAACAGGCTGCTGCGCGCGCCGCTCCGGTCCCTGGAAAGCTTCTGTAGTCGTGACGCCAAAACTGTCGCGGGAAGATGGTGAGAGACACGGCGAAAGGTGTTAAAAAGACAAGTCTTGCGGGTATGATCATAAAGTCATTTATTGATGGGCAGACATGGAACAGAAATCAATCACGAAGTCTGTCGGATGTGGGCCCCCCTGTCATAGGCCGGCAAGCAATGTTATACTGTCAGCTTAACAGCATGTGATAATGAACAACCAATCATAACCTGCCCCATCCTGATACACGGAAATAGGTCAACTTGATGCTGACGTCCGGAGGATATCACAAGATATGAACAATGGACAGTGTCAAGGTGATACAGAAATAAGTATTCCACAACAGCCATTTTTTCCAATATCATGCAGCCTGTTACTTTTATTTTATGTAAAACAAAATTTTTTAGTTGACCTGGCTGTAAAGCCAGTACTGAATAAATGTTTACATTATATAAAAGGAAACATTTTTCACTAAGTTCTCAAACGTTGGTTCTTATTTCTGTCTCCCACAGTTTGTCAGTTTAAAATCTGTTGCATTGAATAAACCACCAAACTTACTATCAAATATTTCCCTTTGTCCTACAATTAAGATGAACATCAGAGCTACAACAGTTGCAGTCCAAAAAATTCATCTCAACACAGTTTATGACTTACCTATTTTACAAAGCCTGAATAGGAGTCTCCCAGAATCCACTGTGTCTCAGACCTTCCCCAAAGTCAGATTCTCTGAAACAATTATACAGTATAATGGAGTTAAAACCATAACCAGATTTTTAATTGAACACATTTATAACATACTGAATTTTATTTTATATATGTCTAGACCAACTTACCTATATACTATTATATATTTTTGGTTGTAGAATGAATCACATATGATAATCTACCAGACTAAACATCTAATAACAGATTAAAAATCCTGCTGAGGCTGAACAAACAGAACTTGGCAATAAAAGCCTTCAATATATTTTCTTACCGATCTGTGTTACCAACAACACTGAATGGAGCAGGAAATGATGTGGTCATCTGAAGTTTGGTTGTTGTTGTTATTTTAGCCAAATAAACATCCAGACATCTACAAAAAACAATTACATAAACAATTTGTCAGGGTTGTCTTTTAATCACACACATTTAACTTTGTAACATACTCCTAACATGTCACACTGTTTTCATCTTTTAAAGAAAGATGACATTCAGACAGAAGGTGAAAAAACATTACTCTGGGGCGTCAAACCGCTCGAGACCCGGAAGTGACTCAACAGAAAAAAGCTCATGAGTAAAATGGAAGTTTACACAGCAATAACCCTAAATTATTTATTTTACTCATCAGAAAACATATGTATGATATTTTTTCGAAATATTTATAATGTTTTATTTAGTTATTTATTTATTTTTTATGTACTAAAAATAGTGGTGGGGCGGCGCCCTAGCGCCCCCCATTGACCAGCCACCACTGGCTGGGACCCCAGGCCGTCTGGGTGACAGTTCGGAGTTTGTTTATACTTCATGTAAGACGTGCGGCTGCGGCCCAGTGATGACGTAATTGCGTGTGTGTCACCGACAGCATTCACTGGTTATACTGGCAAAAGACATGGGGGATACATTACAGTAATCCCTCCCTCTGCCCTCCCACCGCAGACGTCACGCGCTAACTTAACATGTAAATAACTGCTAGTTGCTAAAAAAAACTTGCTAGTTACGAGTTTAAGTCCCCAGTTCACCACCGACCTGTTCACGTTTTGAACCGATTTTCCTCACTCAGTGACACACCCACTGAGAAACTGACCCTGGTTATCGGCAGCTCCATGGTCCAAAACATGGCACTAGGGACTCCAGCGACCATAGTTAAGTGCATGTGGGTGGCCAGAGCGGGTGACATTGAGTCTTATCTTAAACTGCTGACTAATGCTAATGCTAAGTACGGTAAGATTGTTATTCACGTCAGCAGTAATGACACTCTGTTACGCCAGTCGGAGGTAATTAAAATTAATGTTGCTTCGGTCTTTAACTTGGCCAAGACTATGTCAGACTCTGTAGTTTTCTCTGTTCCCCTCCCCAACCTGACCAGTGATGACCTGTTTAGTCCCATGTCATCGTTCCACTGCTGGGTGTCCAGGTGGTGTTCTGAGAACAACGTAGGTTACGTGGACAACTGGAGTTCTTTTTGGGGAAAACCTGATCTGATGCAGAGAGATGGCATCCATCCCACTTCGGCTGGAGCCGCTCTCCTTTCTAGGAATCTGGAAGATTTTGTTGACCACCAAAATTATTGATAACCCAGGGTCCAAACCAGGAAGCAGAGTTGTAGTCCTACAGTGGGCTGCGGAAATTTAAGCAGCCTTGTTAATTTTTCTGATTTACCTTTATATAAATCATTGATTGTTTGGATTAAAAAAATAACAGCTAAATATATCATATAGGGCACAAACACAGTGATATTTGGGAAGTGAAATGAAGTTTATATGATTTACAGAAAGTGTGCAATAATTGGTTAAACAAAATTTGGCAGGTGCATAAATTTGGGCACAGTTGTCATTTTATTGATTTCAAAACCTTTAGAACTAATTATTGGAACTTAAATTAGGTTTTGTTAAGTTCAGTGACCCTTGACCTCCATACACAGGTGACTCCAGTTATGAGAAAGGGTATTTAAGGGGGGCAATAGTAAGTTTTTCTCCTCTTTAAACTTTCGCACCCTACTGCATTTATTAAGTGTAACCTTTCTAAAAGACAAAAATTTACAAGGTCTGGTCTAACCTTCTGTGTTGTTGTGCCATTATCTAATTGTACACCATTGGGAATCACAATGCCTTAAAGGGATCCCTGATTAGTTGTAACATTAGACTTTATTTAATAAACATTTAT